GGTTGTCTCTGGTGGGTCTCGGGAGAAGGCAGGTGAACTCAAAGGGCCTTCCTGGAGCACCGAAGGGGACTTACCACATCGCTCCACTCCCGAACTCCTTCTGGAAGAGGTACTAAAAAACTATGGGTGGCGCTTACTACACCACAGGGGAAATGGGCTTGGTTCTGCTTTGGTCCACAGTTTTTCAAATCAGGTCCCTGAGAGTCTCTGTGGGTGAAATTGCTGTTGTTGTCTGGATGACAAACAATTATTGTGCTGCAGGAGAAACCATCAGTGTGTTTGCATGGCGTTCTGACAGTGGAAGCGACCATTGATCGGATGAGATGCCAACTGGCAATTTCCTCTCGGACCCTTCCTTTGGCCTCTTTTTTTTAAAATGAGGTAGCACAGCACTTGTCTGAATCTGTGCTAAATTGGAAGTGTTTTTCAAGGAAGCTCTTTTTGGAGACAACAGGCCGAGGGACACCCCCCCATAAGCACCCCTTTTGCATTGGATCAAGGGGTCACATGGGACAGAAAGGGGAGAAAAGCCATGCCAGCAAACTGGAGCACAATTAAAGCACCTCTGCAAGATGAATAAAAGAAAAAGGTGATTTTTTCCCTCCAGGCTTCCCCACACCGAGCTTTATGTCATGTAATCACTGGTTTTTAATTTGATTTCATCCTTGCCTCATTAAATGCAAACTGCAGGGGAAATGGCCAAGGTAGTCACCACCTATGTTTGGAGGGCATGAGGTCAGCCTTGTAAACCAGCCTCTCCTGTCTGGTACCCTTCAGCGGCGTTTGGATGCCACTCCCCATCCGCAAGCATGGCAAGCTGCCAGGGATTATATAAATGGTAAAGACCAAAACATATGGAGGGCACCATGTTGGAGAAAAACTGCTTTAGGCCATGCCATCTGTTGTTACCTAAATGAGGAAACAGAAATGCCTGGTCTTCTAAATATTGGACTACAGTTCCTATAATCTCTCACCGCTGCGTCTGCTAAGGCTGCTGGGAGTGATGATCCGGTAATATCTGGAATCCTCATCCCACCTCAAACCTATCTTGCATCCACTCTGGTCCATGTAGAATCCTTCCCAGGGACCACCCAGAGGACATCATTGAGAGGGCAGCAGGGAGAACACTGCCACGGGAGAGCGTCACGTTGTTCTGTCCTTCCTTCCCTTTGCCCCTTCTGTAGGATTCAAGGCCCAGAACGAACCAGCAATAAAAATGTGTACCACATTATAAGTACTCTAAGATCCATGGTGATAAGTCCCAGTGTGTTGTGAATATGATTGACTCTTTTCTTGCCACCCCTGGAGTGCCCCAATACTGTAATAGGTGGCTTGGGTGTGTGTGGAAATCATGTGATATTATCCTATCGATATAGGTGGCTTGGGGGGTGGTGGTGGAAATCATGTGATATTATCCTATCGATCACTGTGGCGATCACCCTGCTCTGACTCATGTAGGAGATTATTTGCACGTACCAATGGGAGCTGTTGAGAGGCTGAGCCAGAGAAACTAGAAGGGAGGCAGAGTCTGAAAGAATTCAGTCAGGGACAGTCAGAGAGGAGAGTAGGAAGAAAGAGTTTGTGGTAGTTAGAGAGGGTGGCATAGTTAGGAGTGAAGAGTGTGGAACTTATAGAGAGCTAAGAGAGTTAAGACGGAAACAAGTTATTACTGATCTAATGAATACATTGAAGTCTGCAAGGAACCTGTTTAGGCAAACTATAACCAATAAACCTGTTTTGTTCAACTTCATATTCAGCTGGGACCTCAGTCTTTCTAACTGCAGGGTGTTGACATAGGTCAACTGGTGGCAGCAGTAAGGAGAGAAAGTATCGTGGGCCTCAGGCTAGTGAAACAAGCCGGGGGGGATGACACGTGAGAGGCACGTCACAATTGGTGTCAGATGGTGGGATACCTAGCGTGAGCTCTTTGTTTGGTGAAACAAGCAGGGGCCACGTGGTGAACGTCACAATTACCTTAATGTTTTCCAGTCTCCCGTTCCATCAGCATGGAACCGGAAAAATGCTAGGACAACGAGGTCAGGTGACCCTTTCCATCACCCCTCTTCAACAACATGTTGCCAAGAAAGGTGGAAGATGGAGTGGAGACAAATGCAAGGCTGGCCACCCTGAAGCTTATGAGGAAAAAGTGTTGGTGTTTATCCTCAAGCAAAAAATATTCAGGGAATAGAGACCCCCATCCCTTCTTTCCTTTTACATGTGTGGCTGTTAATGGCAAATACCGAAAAACAGCATGAGTATGCAAGTAAGCAGTGGGCTGTATAACTGAAACACTGTGTAGGTTGTAGGAGCCCAGGGATCTAAATTTTAGATGCATGGCTTTGGAACAGCACAGTTGTATGGAAATACAATCATACAGACTAGGGCCAGAGATAGTCTTTTTTGCTCTCTCAGAATTGCAAAATTGTCTGCAGGACATTTGGCCCAATACTGTATATAGCACTATGTCTGAAGAAATGTGCGGAATTTAGATCCAGCATTAAGGTCAATTAACAGTGCAGGAGTATTAGATACAGAGCCAGCCCTACCATTGGGAAGCAAAAGGCAGTCACTGGGCAGAGTTTTCCATGTGCTGCCTGGACCTAGATCTGGTGCCCTTTGAGTCTAACATGAAAAGAAGTTCACTTCACTATTGTAATTCTTGTTGCTTGCAATGAGTTTCCCCCCCTCCCCATTAAAAGTTGAACTTGTGGAATTATATAATGGGATAGTTCATGGCTTAGGTCTCTGGTTGCAGAGCCACCAGTGGGAGTTCATTTCCCCACTTTGCCTCCTTGAGAGGGGCTGGACTTGATGATCCATAGGGTCCCCGCCAGCTCTGCAGTGCAAAGGTTGTTAAAGGAACCTTAAGGTAGAGTTGGAATCCATAGGCAAAGCATCCAGATACATTACCATCCAGCTATTGTGCAAAGGCCTCCATAAAGGAAAAGTCACCACCTTCTAAGGTAGCCCATGCAGCATTGAAAATTTGGCAGAAGAGAAAAGGAATCAAAATTGAACTCTCTGTCAACCATCACTCTCACCAACAAGAACCTGGCATAGATTTAGACATGTTGGAGACTCTGTTAGGATTGTACAGTATCCTCACTCTTCCCCATCAGCATGCACAACAACTAGCCACAATGTGCCTTGTCCTCCATATCCTCACTCTTCCCCCATCAGCATGCACAATAACTAGCCACAATGTGCCTTGTCCTCCATACAGAGAAGTTAAATTGAAATGCCAAGTTCATACCCTCATGTCAAAGAACTAACCGGATTAAACAGGGGTTTATCTCAGGTGCAGCTCCAATCTTGTAGCAATCCCTCCATATCCTGTCCCCATATAATGGGTGGGAAGGGGACTGATCTTCAACCTAAGGGGAATGATAGGATTGCTCAGGGATTTGGGGATAGAATCATGCTCTTCATTTTGCCATTCATTTTGTCAATAACCTTCATCTTGAACACTCTCAAAACAATCTTAATCAGCTCTGAATTAGACATTGCATAATAAATCAATAAGTCACTGAGGTTTAAAATGCAGATGGAAAAATAATCTCTCTTTGGCTCTTTTCCCTTTTGGAAACACAAGACGCCTACACTTCCCTTGAACAATGTGTGAAGATACGCAGAAGGGTATGTCTGGGGACCTAACATGTCTTGGAGTCTTGGCGGAACTACCCTCAGCTCCTTGCAGACTTCTGAGGCCAGATAAATAGACCCCATCAGGGTCATCACCTATGTTATTCGGATTTAGCTTTTGTGTCAAACCAGACTGTCTGCTGGGGGAGGCAAGGGCATTCATGTGAATGCATGGTTTTTTTTTTCCTCTTAAACACACACACACACAGTGCAAATATATTTTCTGACATAACACACGTTTCAAATATGTTGAATTTAGGAAAGCTTGCTCCCCAAGATTTTAGCAAAACAAAACAAACCCCATTCTGCGTTTTAAACCCAACACTGTGTTTTAAATATGATGAAACAAAAAAAAATTGCACTTTTACTCACTGTAATTTGATGTGCATAGCCTTAATCAAAAGCTTTTGCTCTATAGGCAGAATAGGTAATAGCTACAAGCATAATAACCGTCATGGAGAGTCAGACCAAAGATCTTCCAGGTCCTACATTCTGGTCACACCAAGCCAACCAGTTGCCTATGGGATATCTACTAGCCCAGCACCCTCTGTCCTGCATTCTCTTCCAGCAACTGAGAGGGATATTTTCCTCGATTTACAGCCCTCCCGAATAAGAGCCATGACTGGCCTTAACCTCCATGAATTTATTTCACCCTTTTTGAAACCATGCAGACAAATCTCCCTCACTACTGCCTTTCCCAAAGGCTGGAGGTTTACAAAACTAGACATCTTTACAGTACTACCCCTAGTGGCAGTGAGTCCCACAGATTGACTGTGCACTGATGGAGGACAGATCCGTACATAGATCTTCTCCACGCTTTCTCAGCCTGGGCATGATGGCCTCGGACTGCATAAATAAAGGGACACCATGCTAGAAGCAGAGTGCACAGCTGGGTCCCTGTGCTGCTTCTAACATGGACAGCAACCTGCCTAAACTGATACTGCACATGAGAATCCTCTGCAGTATTGCAGGGGGTCTGGGACACACCTTTCCTTAATATAGGATGATCTACTTCTGCCTTAGCAGCCTTCTCCTTAAGCATGGGTGTGCACTGGCCGCTTCTGCCTGTTTGGCAGACTTCTCCTTAAGCATGGGTGTGCACTGGCCTTCTCTCTCCCTCTCCCTCTTTCTCTTGAATTGTGCATAGGACTACAGTACTGAATAGCTCAGTAATTTAGGCATCTGGCTGTGGAGTCAGAGGTTGGGAGTTCGATCCCCCCCCCAACACCTCTTTGACAGGAGCTGGACTCCATGATCCATAAGATCCCTTCCAGCTCTGCAGTTCTAAGATGATGATGATTCAAGCAAATGAGAAGTACAACCGTAAACAAAATGACAACTGATGCAGGAAAGAGGGTTTTAAAGATCTCATTGGCACCCCAATTGTAAATACATATGTTTGGAAGCAAGTCCCATAATTCTGGAGGAACTTACACTGGAATTGTTTTCTTTACTTTTTCCTTGAAGCAATTTGCCCACTTCCTCCCCATTGGTCAACATCCCAGAAACCTCTTTTTGGCAACTACGTATACATTTCTGTTGTTCTGTTTGTGCCCTCTCTCCCTCTTGAAGCAGCTCTGATCTGGCACCATCCCCAGGAGTGGCAGGACCTTCACCCTGCCCCCTTTATGTTTCCCCTTTCAGCCAACTGTTCTTGGACACTTGGCCTGCACAGGGTCGAGATTCGGGACTGAACTGGAGCAGCTGTGTAACGAGAGCTTTGCAGGGCTCCGAAGCGGAGGGTAGATCTTCTGGGAATAGGACTCCTTTTTTCTGGCGACAGGGCATGTTGTGGATATGGGTGTCATCAAAGGGCATGCAGCCAGTAATCATCACATACAGCATTACACCCAAGCTCCATATGTCATACTTTTTGGGATCATAGGGAATGCCCATCAGGACCTCTGGGGACGCGTAGGCAGCTGATCCACAGTAGGTGGTACTCAGTTCGGGATACCCACGGGACTCCTTGCCAAAACCAAAGTCGGTCAGTTTTGCTCGGCGGCCATCCGAGGTGAGCAACACATTTTCACACTTGAGGTCCCGATGCACCAGGTGCCTGTCGTGGAGGTAGCGCACAGCACCCACCACCTGGGCAAAGATGTCCCGGGCCTCGGGAGCGCAGGGGAGCTTCCCCACCTGCTGGACCATTTGCAGCAGATCCGTGGAGGCTGCTTCCATCACGATGTAGAGTGTCCCATTGCAGACTTCTATGAATTCGTAGACTCGGACGATGTGCGGGTGCCGAATCCCGCGCAGGATGGAGAGCTCTCGTGGCAGAAACTTCTCCACAAAATCCCGAGGGGCTCGGCGCCGATCCACCATTTTGATGGCCAGAGGGCCCTTGTATTTGGCAGAAGTGGCCACTCTCACCTTAGAATAGCTGCCTTCTCCCAGGGTTTGGCCCAGTTTGTAACCCAGGTCACTCAGAAGTTTGTGTCCTCTGGAAGCCCTTGACATGATGACCTGGTAAGGCTAAAAAGGCCTTTCGTTTTCTGAGACTCAGTGCTTTAACCCATTGTGATTGACATCTCTAGACCTTCACTCCCCATCATGTGCCTACCAAGGCCCTGGCTTCGAAGTCATCACTACTCACACAGCTATTGTGAAGTATGAGTGCAGTGTCATGTATTATGTGTCCTTGCACATAATCAGGAGTGGCTTGCAGGTAAGGACCACAGCTAGGAAGAATAACTTGGACACCTCAAGGGGCAGCTGGAACAGGTGTGGGATCTTCTCACTGACCTAGCTGTTTCCATTTGTGTGTGTGAAGCCTCACTTGCCATCCGAAGGAGCAGTCCCACACAGAAGGCAACCACTGCAGGGAGAATGAATCCTCACCTGCTCTGAAGCTTTCCTCCTCTGACCTTTTGGGAGCTTCACAACTTCCTTTAGAATTTTGTTCTCCTTTGAAATGTGTTGAAGGACAATTCTAAACGATTAAAAATAAAAGACAGAACTGATTTGCGCCAAGAACATAGTATTCTCAGGAGTTCTAACCGTTTAGATTATGTAAACAGGATGTCAATTTGAAAGGAAGTTGAAAGGATGGATATGTTTCATGTTCCAATATGCTAGCACTACAGTTCTGATGTCTTTAATAAGCAGACTGTTTTTCTCTCAGCAAAATAATTGCCCCGACCAAACAAAAACGAGGGCTCAAGGTCAAACTTTTCCAGGTAGAAGTAAAATATTTAACCGCATCTGTTAGGGAAGGTCTCATACTGGAAATTCTTTGGTTTTTCTGATGAGACATCTTCATAAACAGATGCTCCCCTTCATCTTTTATAGTACAAAAATTCATGGGTCACTATCTAACCCTCCGTAATAAGGAGTATCTCCCCTAAGATGCTGAAATGGTACATTTGGGCACATCACAGCTCATCTTTGCTTTAGAAGATCATGCTGCATAAATGTATAAATATTTCCCCTAAGTCATACGTAAAAATGAATTTAAAATGTTTTCCCAGAAACAAGTACTACTTTTCCCCAAAGGTTTTCTTCCAATTGTACTCCATTTCAAGTGCTGAAGGATATGGATTAGATGATAAGAGCTCATGAGGTAACACCACTGTTTAAATAATACTTGAATTTTAAGATCCCTGGTGTGTGTGTATTTTTACAGCATGATAATATTCTCCTTTTCCCAGTTATTCTAATTATCAAATTGGGTAAAATGTAACTATAGACAAGTACTTTGTTCAGATTAGGAAATTAAGCGCACAGTGTTCACTTTTGAGGTTGTTCACTGCAAGCATAACATGAGAGAAGCTTTAGGCAGAGATGTTGGCAAGTCTTTGAGTCCAAGTCCAGAATCCCAACTCTTGAGTCCCTATTACAAATGAACTTTTTCCTCCCGGAAAAAAGGGAGGATGGTTGGTTTCTGAATCAGGAGTTGAGTCCGAGTCATTGGGAAACCACCACCCCCCGAGTCGAGTCAACTCACCAGTGTGATATAAATCTGACTTGACAGTTGGTCCAACTCATCCTAGGGTTTAAGAGGACAGGAGTTTTGGATTCATAGAATAGTCTGCTTATTTTTTTCATGATTGACGTAGATGCTGGAGGACAACTGACCCTCATTCTACTGCTCCTTGTTCCTTAAGAGTGCTCTACAATCTTGAGAGGAGAGGATATCACACAGATATTGCTGCTCCTATCCGTAACCCTGCACTGAGTCTGGAAGTTCACACTGGGCAAGTTTGTGTGTATAGATGCCTTTGTACACAGGCTTTCAAGATGAGATGGCTCCTTGATCTCACAGGGTTCCACCCCTTGTATAATATTCTAATTCAGAAACAATTGTTCACAGATCTGAGAATGCATCTATATTTTAAACGAATGCTTGCAAGTACATGCAGAGCTTCTCCTTCCTTGGCTATGAAAGAGAAAAATTACCAATTGGCTCAGAAAGATGTTTCTATACTCAGCACAATGGGTCCCCTTGTATACGTAGAGTCCTGGATTACACTACAGTATTAGTATTGGGCCCTGTTAGAAACCGGGAAAAACCAAATGCATGTGTCGTGTTCGAAAGATGCCTCCTGCTTTCCAACCCACTCGGCTTATGCCATGGAGTTTATCTCGGTGTAGCAGCTGACTAAACCAGAGATGTGCGCCTCTGGATACCTGATCATTATGAGCAATCAGACAGCGTGATAGTAGAGTTGACGTAAGCAGCTTTCACCTGTCTCAGCCTCCTCACATTGTAGGCAGTGTTGTGAATGGACAGTTTCACGAAGATGAGCTGCATGACAGCAAAACTTATGGGGGGGGGAGAATAACTCCAAAGGCAGACCTTTTCAAGGGTATTGGCGGGAAATAGAAATGTAAAGGCCCAGAAGACAACACTTTCCCCACCCACCTGAGGAAAGAGCGTCAAAAGTCCCCCGCCCACCCCCATCCCTGAATTTTCCTGCCAGGCCTTCACATGTCTGGCAGTATCTGCCCACACAACTTCCCTCATCTGCAAAAGAACCAGAACATGTAACAGCCCCACACTTCAGCTGCTGAGGTGCAGTTGTGTGAACGGCAGAGTTTCAGATCAGTGTGATCTGAAACTCAGGAGAGGAAGGGCAATAGGATTCATGATCAAAAAATAAGAAAGCACAGCTTCTAGATTCATCTGATGAGCCATTCTGATCCAAGCCCCTACCCTCTCTTGTGGCTCACTGACTCCTCCATGTTAATTTTATCTGGCCTCCCACTTCAAATCTTGCTTTTTTGTTTGTTCTTTCTTCCTGCTATTCTTGAACGTTTTTAGACCGGACTTTGTGCCCCTCCTCCCTTTTCCTATAGTGACTGCCCTTTACAGGTTTTTGGAGAGTCTGCTAGATTGTCTGAAGCCATTTTGATGGTAGAAAGCAAGACGACAGGGTCAGTGGGGCAGAGGAAGATCACTATCAGATGGCACCTTTAACATACTCAAGGGGTCTTCGCCCATTATGATAACTGTGTGCTGTGAAGTTGATTCCAACTTATTGTGACCCTTTCCAGGGTCTTCTAGATAGACAATATTCAGAAGTGGTTTACTCTTCCCTTCTTTTGGGGGTACTTTGGGATTGCGCAGCTCACCCATGGTTACACAGGATGGCTCTTCTATCAAAAGGAACAATGGGGAATTGAACTCCCAACTTCAGTTCTGCAGCTAGATGCCTAAATCACTGTGCTATTCAGCCAGCTGAACACTTACGTAAATCACTGTGCTATTCAGCCAGCTGAACTCAAATGTGAAAGTAGGCAACTGTATAATGCTGTCTTCAGCACATGAGGTCATGGTCTGCACAATGGGGGTGCCCTAGCCACTAGATATAATGCTGTCTTGAGTACATGAGCTCAGTGTCCCTATGCTCTGCACAATGGGGGTGCCCTAGCCACTAGATGTGAGAGAAGAGGTTCTTTAGCCAATAAAGACAGCTAGCCAGGTGCCTAAGAGGGCAAGAGGGAGAAAGGGGAATTGGACAGAAAGTGGTCTTGGGTACCTATTCGGAACTGAAAAGCCCAGTGTTCAAGGGAGTCATTGGCTGGCCACTGATGGGCAGCTGATGTTGAGGACAAGAGAAACCCACCAATAGCACAGGGCAGTGATCCAGCCTTTCTGTAACTAAGGCACATACAATAATGACTGGGTCTCCTTTCTCTGGTAGTGATGAATGCCACCAATGCCATTGCTTAAACAACAAGGGGGGGTGCTGCCCCCTGTATCTTCTGTGATCCGAGTACTTATCACTAGTCTCAACTAGACAGTAGACACAATGACTAGACTGCTGAATGGTAAGCCAACATGGAGGTAAATCCCATAGAATCAACAACTCCAATCTTGCTTGAACCAGCAACAGGAAATGTGTTTATGTTTAGTAGACAGTGTGGTACAGGTTCAGCAGATGGCAGCTTGTGGGTTTTCTTAGCCTCCATAATTTGAGCACCACTCTTCTTCTACAGGCAAAAGCACCTTTAGGGACAGCTAGACCTCGGCCTGAAGGCGCAAGACTGAGTCCAAGGAGTCCCTAAAAAGTTTTGGGGGTTGGGTGTTTATCTATTTTTTTTTAGTCAATTGTAATTTCATCCAAAACACCCATCACAGAATTAGGAGTCTGTCTGACCACCAGTCAGAATGCCTTGTGTAATTCTAGACCTGTCAACCCAGAGGCCTTCGAGTACAGTGGGGCTTCCTCCTAGCTATGCGGTGTCCACAAATGGGCAGAACTGGTTCAACCTCTCTCCAACTTCCTTTTCACTACAGCAGTTCTTCCCAATTCAGCAGGGCTCCTCTTTGTCCTCATGACAACAATGGGCGTTACATCAGGGACTACAATTGTGATGTAAGGTGCACAGTTTACTTACACACACACACCCAGCTTGGAAACACTGAAATGAATTGGAATATGATCTTTTCAGAGCACTATTTGCTGGATTCCTAGGAAGCGGTAACTGAGTCAATGGCATTTATGCTAAACGAAACTAGCATGAAAGCAACCCTAAACCTGATGAACTGTCAAGTCCTTCTCTCCAAGGGACTGCCCTTCTCTGAAGGAAGCTAGCTGCCCTCTCCAATCAAAAAGGCACGCAGACCTCATCAAAAGAAAGCTTTGCTGGCCATCGAGACCAGACCTTTGCTGACCTCAATATTTGGCAGATCGTCTTCTTCCACCCAGATCTACCCGAATCACCCATCATAGCCAGCAGGGACGGCTGAGGGGCCTGACACCAAGGGAGGCCTGGAAGGAAAAAACTAGAAACCGGGCTTTCTCGGCGGTGGCCCCTCAGCCGTGGAACACTCTCCCAACCGAAATTTCGCTGCCACCCTCACTGGGTGTCTTCAAAAGCCAGTTAAAAACTTGGCTATTCAAGCAGGCCTTCCCTCCAGTTAATTAAGTTATTTTTGTATTTTTTAATGATTTTATACATGTTTATATTGATGAGTTTTTATCTATGTAAGCCGGCCCGAGTAGACATTGTCTAGAGGGGCAGGGTAAAAATCTAACAAATAAATAAATAAATAAATAAATAAAATAAGAACCAAAAATTCAAAAGGGAAATATTCAGACAAAGTAGGTATTAGTATATGAAGAGTCTGAGGCAGCAATATTTCTAGATAGATAGATAGATAGATAGATAGATAGATAGATAGATAGATAGATAGATAAACCTTTCCCAATCCCAGCATCTTCCAGACATCTCTGTCTACAGCTTCCACTCTCCCCAGCCAGTGTGGCTGCTTTGGATGATGGGAGATGCACTCAGGCAGACCTGGAAGGCATCTGGTTTGAAGGGAAGTCTCAAGGCACTTCCATTTTCGGAACCTGAAAGGCAATGGGAGCAGGAACCATGTGGCCCTCCAGAACTTCTATCAGCCTTATTCAGTATGCTCAGCTGGGGAAGAGCAATAGAGGAAGTTCTCCCAAAAACACAAAGGTTTCCCAGCTCTACTGAAAGGCTTCTTCAGAGAAAGAAGTGCAACTTAACCCCCAGTTAAAAACCCAAAGGCCAGTGCTTCCTTAAAAGCAGCATGTGGGTAAGGTAGGATTTGGTTTACTGGTTGGCTTCGAACTTTCTGACTTATTCATGTAAGCTGCCCCAGGTAGACTTTGTCGGGGGGGGGGGGATATAAGTCCAATAAAAGTAAAGTAAAAGTATAGTAAAGTCTGTATTTATTATTATTATTGTTATTGTTATTATTATCATCATCATCATCATCATCATCATCATCTAACTGTGCTTCCAACACATAATAGTTCTGCTCTTGCACCTTAAATCAGTCAGCAAGTCCCTGATGGCTCCCCAATTCCAGACCACAATACTTGCAGGTGGGAGAGAGTTATTTCTGGCCTCTCCTGCAGGCAGATATGGTGCCTGGGTGTGGAGGAAGCTACTGGGCTGGAGAGTCACAACTGGTTTCTACCATTCTTTCCATGTCGGAAGGCAGTTGCCTCCCTATCCTACCTACTATGTTAAGTCCCGTCTCAGTTCCTGCTGACGGCTCAGCCCGAGCTTGGGAATGGCAATCTGGCTTTGTACATTTTGGTCTCTAGGAGGACTGGATCTCCTTACCTCCCAAATGGGGGTGCCGCTCACGGGTCTTCATTAGACTGCAAGTAAACTGCTAGATAGTCCAGGGGTTCAGGCATCTGGCTGTGGAGCCAGGGTTGGGAGTTCGATTCCCCCCAACTGGGCCTCCTTGACAGGGGCTGGACTTGATGATCTCTCGAGGATCCCTACCAGATGTGCAGTTCTAAGATGATGGGGACTACTACTACTACTAAATAAGCGCAAGATTGAGTTTCCCAGTACAGTATCAGGAGTTCATGGCTTCGTTCCCCACCCCACTGCGCAGCAGACAGTTTGGCTTTGGAATATTAGGGGAAAAAACCCAGAAGGGTTCCTAGGATAAATATTAGGGAAAGCCAGAAGGGCAAAAGACTGAATGCATGGAAAATGGCAACAATGATTTTTATGGCCATCGGAAGCCGAAGTGCTCAGCGATTGATTTCCCCGCTCTTTGATCACAGCAACGCACTTTTTCTTGCCTCCGTAGTCTGCTTCCAGACCACCTCCATCCAGAGCGTTATCCAAGCGAACTCTTTGCAATCGAAGCGCTAAAAATCCCGGCGGGCCTTTCTTAGGGAGGTGTTTTCGGGGGCACCCTTCTTCGGCACAATAGGGACGAGAGAATCGCCTTCGTCCCGACCCCTGGGTGGGTGGATGGGTGGGGGGAGAAAAAGAGAGAAGGAGCCATCAGGGAACCCTCCGCGCCTTCAACGCCGCAGACCGCCCTGCTGCGACTCTTCCCGGATGATGATGATGATAATGATGATGAGTCGGCAGTATTGTCCTCCGGCGAGACACAAGCACGAGCTGCCTCCCCAGGCGAGTCAAAGCAGAAAAGGAAACAGGGCGGGCGGGAGGGGGAAGCGGCGAGCGAGAGTAAATATTCTAGGTCAGAGGACAAAAGAGCCGCTGTCAGCCAATCAGCGCTTCTCACGGGGCACTTTGCCACATTCCGTTCCATTCCGGTGTCTCCGCGTTCCATGGACGGTCCCATTGTTCTGGAGGGGGGGACAACCCTCTTCACCTTGTATTCCGCTGCTGCGGGTCGAAAAGCGCCGAAGCGACTGGGAGTAGCCCCGGGACATTACGGCACCAGCCGATAGGGCTTGCTGCGGGGTCTTGGGATTCCCGCCGGCGCCGCGTCTCCCGTTCGACTCTCCGCCTCCCCTTGCCGAGCGGATCGAATGGATCCGTCCGGCTGGGTATAAAAGGCGAGCGCAGCACATGCTTGGTTTAGACGGCGGGGCATCGTTGAGTGCGGGTGGAGTGGTGCTGTGTAGTTCTGTACAAAAAAAAGTGGGGGCCACGAACGAAGGGGTGCAAGGGGAAGCCGAGGAGGAACGCACGTTGGTCGTTGTAAAATAATAATTATTATAAGAATAAGAAAGGAAGGCCGAGCTCGGGTCTTTGGAAGGGCGAGTGCAGGGGGGGAAGAGAAGGAAGCCCAGCGGAGGCGCTTGCCCCTTATCTTGCCAGTAGGGGCGGCAGCCCCCGAAGCCAGCCAGCCACAGCCCGCGTCTTTTCGGTCCCTGTGCCCCCCCCCCCCACACTCCTTTTTTTTCTTTCCCTTTTTTTGCCTTCCCCGTTTTAGGAGGTTTGCCAGCACCGATCCTGCTCGACCGTTCGAAGAGGCGATCACGCTTGGAAGGGGGAGTCATAGGTGCCTTCCCTTGGCCCAGATCCTCCCGAACATTTTGCACCCTGATCGCCTAATTCGGTCCAGTCTCTCCATTGGAGAAACTGGTCGAAAGCCTCTCCTCTCTCTTTCTCGGTGCCCACCCCCTTCTTCTCGGCCCCCCTCTGCTCCCCCAGGCTTTCCCGGGGGGTCCTGTTCCGCCAAGGGATGCTTTGTCCTCCCCTGGCGAGCAGCACCCGGGTCCTCCTCCACGTGAGCAAGCCGGCAGCATGAGCCTGGCAAATGAAACCTACGTCTTCATAAAAGACATAAAGCCCGGACTGAAAAACTTAAATGTCGTCTTTATTGTGCTGGAAATCGGTAAGTGGCCGTGGGGGGGGCGGGGTGGGGGGAGAGAGAGAAAGAGATCCTTGGAACCGCCGCCTTTTGATTTGACTCCCTCCCTCTAGTTTTCCCGGCCGCCCTTTTCCCCACCCGCCTTAGTTCTCCCCCTCCCACTTCTTTGCTCAGGAGTTTCGTGTGCATGTGAGTGCGTGTGTGTGTGAGAGAGACTGTGACACGTGGTCACTTCCAGGGAAAGCTTGGGAATCGCTGTCCCTACTGAATCTCACCTTTGCTTCCTCTGCTACCCATAATTAGGTCCCCCTCACCCCTGGAAAATACATATATATGTGTGTGTGTGTCTGACTTACAAGATACCCTTTTTCTTTTGGGCTGCCCCTCCTTTTTTGCACCTGCCCCCCCCACACATTTACTTCACTTTTACACAGAGTTCTGATCATTATTTTCCCAGCTATTTATTCCCGGGATGCTTTTGTGGCTGAGCACACCAATGCTGGCAGCATTAATAACTGTATAACTTGGCTTTTTTTTTCTGTTTCTCTCGCTGTCTCTCTTCCAATGTTTCCTTGCAGGGCGCGTTACCAAAACCAAAGATGGGCATGAGGTGAGGTCATGCAAGGTTGCCGACAAGACCGGCAGCATCACCATCTCGGTGTGGGATGAACTGGGCAGTCTCATTCAGCCGGGCGATATCATCCGATTGACCAAAGGGTACGTCACGCAGGGGGCAGAGGGGTTGGGCGGCTGGTTTCAGCTTAGGGTGGCAGAGGCCCCGAGAGCAGACTTAGTTTCTCTTTTTGAGAGTGTTCTTACGAACGCTTCCTCCCCCCCCCTTTTTTTTTCGTCTTCTTTCACTTCCACTGAAAAGGGAGGGTTGGGTCTGACTCAGCTTCAGTCTTCTCTTGTGCAACAGCACCTCGTGCAAGAAAGGAGGGCGACTGGAAGCAGGCAGGCTTTTTGAATGCTGGCATGGGGCCAAACCCGATGCAGAGGAGGCCGCCCTGTTTGGCGTAAACCGGGATCTGCCCCCTTCACAAGTGTAGGACCCGCAACATAGCAGAACGTGGGGTCCAAGGATTGGGAGGCCGGGGGGGGGGACGTCGTCATCAGGCCTTTGCCTCGTCCTGGATGGTCATGGTGATGTCATCTGCCCTCCCTTGTTCACACTGAGCTTCAGTGCAGTCCTCACCACAGGTTGTTATCTGTATATATCTGCACACCCACCCCACCTACACCCTGAGGATCTGGCCAGCGCAGTGGCCTGCAGTTTTGGATTTTCCTTAGGGACAAGGGCTAAAGAAGTTGTCATGATGGGCACTTGTACCACTGAATAGATCGTTTCACTGCCAGGACCATCTGACCCCATTATTACCTGTTTTAGCAGAAACTCGGAGGTTCTCTGACCCTTTTAATTGGAGAGCCCAGATTTTGAACCCAGACCCTTCTGCATTGCCCCTGTGGGCGAAGCTCGGATGCGTAAGGCCAATGGGAGACAGAATCCTCCTTATCCAGCCTTGCCTCTCTGCGCTTGCGTCTGGAGCGTGCCACTGAGCTGGGATGGAGAGGGGGCAAATCTTGGGAAGGTTCTCCCCCTCTCGCTGGGCTCTCCCATGACCCTTCCTGTCTTTAATACAGGTATACGCGCACACAGTCCCACTGCTTTGTATGCGATGAGGACAGATCCAGGTTTATACAAACGGCTCTGGTGCCATCACGTCGGGCTTGATGCGCAGTGCGGCCTCCTTCCTTGACCATAGTAGTTACTGACTCATCTCTTTTAAGACCTGCTGGTTTCTTTTTTCTTCAAGGAAGCCACGAACCACCCACTTTTCCTGTATGGTGTGTGTTCTTTTTATAGTTCCCCATTTAGAAAGACTGGGCACGCTACGGGCTGTTTTGTACGGGTAGGAAGCGGGAGACTGGGTTGTTCCCCATCCCTGAGTGCCCCAGGAGGTAATCCATTTTGAAGGCTCATGTTTAGATCACAGAAAGAAGGCTGCAGCACATTATGTAAAGGAGGAGGCCCTATTGAAACCTTTTCCTCCCATAAATGTGCTTGTGCTAATTTGGTTTAGCAGGAGGTGTTTGGATTCTCCTGTTTGAATAGCCTAGTCAGTTAGGTCTGTGGCGGCAGAGCCAGAGATTGGGAATTTGATTCCCCCCTACTCTGCCTCCCAGGTAGAAGAGCCAGCCTGCCTATCCTTGGGCAAACTGCACAGCCCCATAGTGCCTCTAGGATAAGGAAATAGGAAACCACTTTTGAGTACTCTGTTCGGCTTTCCAGAGGCTTTGGACTACCGTTCTTAGTAATGCTGATGATGTTGGTGCTGTCAAGTCAGTTCTGGCTTACGGTGACCCTTTTCATGGTTTTCCAGCTAGGGGATGCTCAGGAGTGGTTTGCCATTCCTTCCTTCTGGGGGCATCCTGGATTTGTGTAGCCTGCCCAAGACTGCCCAAGGGGGCTCTTCTCCCAGGGGGTGCCATGGGGGAATCAAACCCCCAACCTGCTGGCATTGACATCTACTGGCACTGGGGTCCACAGGTGGTGTTCCTTCCAAGCACACGGTCCTGCTTGACTACGTGTATGACAACACATGGCATGTTTACACTCGAGTCAGTGCCTGGTTACACGGTTAACAGCTTGAGGTCTGCTCTCCCCCAGCTTCTTTTGTTCTTGCCTGGAGGAAGAGGATCTGTGAAGCTGAATCCACAACTGCCATGTCCTTTACCGGATAAGTGTAGCATCCTGGCGTCCTTCCACAGGCTGTGAAAAGCTATGTACGCCTATATGTTGTAAATGTCTTTGAAACCCGATACATTAAGGGGTTGAGGAGCCACTGTGCAATGTGGGTTTTAACATGCGGCAGTGGGTTATTTTGGCCTCTTTCCTTGAGCTACCTTCAAGCCACAAGGAAGAGAGACTGGCTCACTTTAGAAGGGAGAGAAGCACAAGAAACAAATGGAGTCTGCAGCAACGTCAGCAGATCAAAGGGATTTTGCTGTTACATTGTTCTTGAAATGTAATTAAAAATGGGCACTTAAATGATAGTTATCTGCGTCCACATTACCTGCCTTCTCAGTTAATTCCAGCAAATAGCAGGTAAGTCTTTCTGCTGCATTTTTGAGAGAAAGATTCCTATCTGTATTTTTGCTAAATAAATAAATAAAATGGGGTAAAGTATAGTAAATATCATCATCTTAGAACTGCAGAGCTGGGAGGGACGCTGTGGGTTATGGAGTCCAGTCCCGGTCAAGGAGACACAATGGGGGGAATCAAACTCCCAAATTCTTGCTCCACAGCCAGAGGCGTAACCCATCGAGCTCTCCAGTCAGTTCTATATTGGCTCTCGTTCAAGATTTTATACTAAAGAATTTTAGGTCCCCTTTGATATGCCACCATCACATCCTTTACCCAGAGTGGTTTTTTTGGGGGGGGGGTTGCAGTATAGTGTAGTGTTGCAGGGGGCTGTAAGGGTTACAGAAAGAACGTGTATGAAGTGATTAAAATAATCAAAAGCACTAAAAATGCTAAATGTTTGATTGTTAATTAAGTTGAATTGGTAAACATCAACCACGCTATCCCTAGCAGCCATGCCTCACAGCAAAAATGTGGTCAGAAACATTTACAGAAACAGGTGCTGCTTTAAATAATTGCTACATGTTCTTTACCTGGTAAGTGTGTTCTTAAGCACAACCAATAGCTTCTAGGAAAAATAAGTTCTCTCCCTCATCTAGGTCTAGATTCCTTTTGCTTGTTTGCACATCTGGGGTGTTTTGGGGTTTGTCACTGCTTCACATTGAAAATCTTTCCTTGAAAACAGTGCTTCCCAACCTTGGCCAACCCAGATGTTCCTGGCCTACAACTCCCAGAAATCCTGGCCAGCACAGCCAGTGGTGGAGGCTTCTGGGAGTTTGAGTCCGAGAACCCCTGGTTTGCCCAAGGGCTTTAAAGTGTGCTGTGTGGAATGTAATGTTTGTAACCATTCTACAACTGGAAAGCAGAAGGCTGTGACCTTGATAATGAAGTTGAAGTTAGACCTTGACACCGTACCATCCCTTAGCAGCAATGCCTGTGACATGCCCCAGAGGGAACAGGATCTATAAGTAAGCTGCTGTTGAATTGCAGAGCCTTTTCTGTTTTGATTCGGTCATCATGACAGACTCCCTGGGTGATTCAGGCTGAGGGATGATTAGTCTAATTTACTTGGAAGACATCAAGTTAAGGAAGATTGGGGTCCTGAGTGGTGGTGGAAGTGATCTGATTTGACATGTCTTCAGACCTCTGCTTGGCTCTGAAACTCTTTGGGTGAGGTTGCTCTCATCTTTCCATCTATCGTCCAGGCCAGTCTCACAGGAAGGATGGATGGGACAAAGTGGGGTAATCCCCGACATATTTCTTTCTTCCCCGTGAGCCACTTGGAAGAATACTCAGTTGCAAATGTAGGTCACACAAGTAAATTGTCCCCAGTGTAACAAAAAGTATACATTTGGACTTTAGGGTGAACGACCGTCATGGCTGCTTACTCAGCCATCCAGAATGCTTAAACTGCCATGCGGTTGTAGCAGGATGTCACCCTGCGATAAGTTGTATGTTTCTCAGGTTACAACTTGGCACAGTGTTAACACGTAGCGTTAAGGTCACCTTTCCATTTGCGGCCGAATGAATGAGTGACTGGCAGTGGCGTTGCAGAATCGATGGCTAAGTTGTTTGGACATGGAAATCTGAACTTGCAACATTGGTGCCATCTGTCTAGGTGTGAAAACCTTGGAAACCTAGAGGGAGAGGGTGTCATGGTGGTGGTGGTAGCCTTTTCAGTCTCATCCATCGGTGCACTTGGAAAGAAAGGGTGGGGGTTGTTTTTGTTGGGAGGATGAGCTTCAAGGACTCAACTGAGATATGAAGTTGATAGGAGGGATGCCAGTCTGTTGTGGACAGGCTTTTAAAAGTACAGTAAATTACAGTTAAGTCTCAACCTCCCACCTGTACTATACTGTGCATCATTTAGTTACTCCTTTTAACTTGGGGTACGGCCCTCTGGCAAGTTCAAGGCCAGTGTTGTGTTCCCACCTGGAATGACTGCTAGAAAACTTCAAAAACAGGAAGTGGGTAGAGGTTCACAGGCTAGTTTGGAAACATGAATATTTGGGATGTGAAATAGTGCATCTGGGGCCCTATAGAAGGCAAATCACAACTCTTGAGAGTTGTCGTTCACGGTTTTTTTGGCGGGGTGGGTGGCAAAAGGGCAAGCTGAAGGATTGCTGTTGGGCTGCCAGAACAGACTAGATAAGATGCACAGGCATACTTTACTTGTTTCCTTTGCAGTTAGAGAAATACCGTATTTTTTGCTCCATAAGATGCACTCCCCCCCCAAATGTGGGGGGAAGCCTGTGCGTCTTATGGAGGGAAGGCAGCGATTTCGCCCCCGCTGGCTCCGTGGGGGGGAACGTCGCAGTGGTCTGAGTGAGCCTTCCCGGACCCTTGCACTGCTCCCCCCACCCCCCACGGGGCCAGCGCGGGCAAAATTGCCAGCTTCTGGGACTTTTGAGGCTTGGGAAGCCTCAGAAGAGTCCCAGAAGGTAGCGATTTCACCCCCTCTGACCCCCGGGGGGGGAGGGTGAGTCTCTAAAGGGTCCTGGAACACAGCCTAGGAGCCTTTAGAGACACCCTTCCCCCGCCAGGGTTAGAGGGGGCGAAATCGCCACCATCTGGGACTCTTTTGAGGTTTGGGAAGCCTCAGAAGAGTCCCAGAAGTTCGGGATTTTGCCCCCTCTGACCCCCCGGGGGGGGCTGGGTGAGCCTCCAAAGGGTCCTAGGGTGTGTTCCATAAGATGGACCTCTCCATAAGGCTCACCAATTTTTAGGAAAAGAAAACATGATTTTTTTCCTGTTTTCTACTCCTAAAAATTTGGTGTGTCTTATGGAGCGAAAAATATGGTATGTACCTATTCCTTTTTCTGCTGGGCTGGATAGCCTAGCGTTTTAGGTCTCTGGCTGCAGAGCCAGAGGTTGATTCCCTCCATCTGTGCCTTCTGGGAGTAGAGCCAGCCTGGGTGGTCTTGGGCAAGCTGCACAGTTCCAGGTCTCTCCTAGAAGAAGGGAATTGCGAACCACTTCTTGGTACTCTACCTGGAAAACCTTGGAAAAGGTTGCTGCCAGTTGGGATCAGCTGGATGCCACACAATGACTGTTCCTCAGTTTTCTGGTTAAAAATGTCTTAAATAGGAAATAAGTTCTTAGTTTCAGAAGACAAAAATCTGTACTCTCACATGGTTGTTTGTGAGGTTAGGTCATTCTTTCAAACAATATATTTTGTTGGGTTTGCAGTGAAGCCTTTTTATTTCTGCATCCCAGCACTAGCGTACCTCTCCATGTCTGGTTTCATCTGGTCTGGGGTATGTGTATGTGACAGGAAATGAGAGATCAGTCGAAGGATGCTTGTTGGTGTGGTGGGTGGTGGTACATAGCACTGCATTACCACCTTCAGTGTTTTATTAAAAGAAAAATCTTGGCTTTTAGTTAATGATCTCAACTCAGCTAAAGTTTATATTGAAATACTATTGGAGTCAGTGGTGCTATTTTGTTGCAGCTAAAGGCTCAGTAGCGGAAGTGGAACTAAGCATGAGAAATCTTAGCTGGATTGGACCTTTTACATTCTCATCTTTGGGGTTTGCGTAGTATGTTGGCATGGATTGATGGTAAACGTTTCTGTCAGAAACACAGCCAGACTTTTCACTATCTGAAAAGTTGCTTCCTTGCTTTCAGGGTGGATAAAAATCAATGATTTATTTAAATCAAATTGATTTAATACACAACTCAAATCAATTTTTTAAAATTTAAATCATTTTTAAAAATCAGTTTTGGGGGGACTTAAATGGCAATTTAAGGTATGGTTTGAATAAATTTGATTTAAATGAAATGCACCCTGCAGAAGACCAGCAGTCGTAAGATCGAATCCACGCGACAGAGTGAGCGCCCGTTGCTTGTCCCAGCTCCCGCCAACCTAGCGGTTCGAAAGCATGCAAATGCAAGTAGATAAATAGGGACCACCTCGGTGGGAAAGTAACAGCATTCTGTGTTTAAGTCGCACCGGCCATGTGACCACGGAAGATTGTCTTCGGACAATCTGCTTCGGCTCTATGGCTTGGAAACGGGGATGAGCACCGCCCCCTAGAGTCGAACACGACTGGACAAAAATTGTCAAAGGGAACCTTTACCTTTACTTTTACCTTTTTTATATATATCTTGGTGGCAAAGCAGATGGAATGGGTTGCTAGAACAGGAGTGGAAAATCAATTTCCAGATGTTATCTCTCTTGTATGCAGGCCAGCCTTGCTGGGGCTGATGGGAACGGAAGTGTACTATTGTTTGAAGACCTCAAGTTTCTTTGAGTTCATACTGATGCAGCTGTCCTAGAACCTTGATTGTCACTTCCGTAAATCCAGCAGATCAGAGTAGCTGCAGTAGCACATAATGAGATACTGGTGAAGAGAGCCAGAGAGTTGTGTAGCACTGGGAAAGCAACTGTGCTTTAGAATCAACCTCACAAATAGTTAGGAAAAAAAATCTGTCTGCCCGGATGCATTGGGCCACGAACTATCTAGAGGTGGTGAGCATTTCAAAGTGCCAGAATCTGGCTCGTTCCTTCCACTCAAACAGTTGCATGTGCAGTAGAACATTTGTGAAACTTGTGGAAGGATCTGGGGTCCAGCTGAGGATCCAGGATGTTCTGGCACAACAGAAAGCCCTCGGCTTCAAGGGACAGTGTCTGTGTCTCGTGCCGTGGTGCTTGGGTGTTGCTACGGCAGCACCTGGCCGGCTTCTGTCCATTGATTCCCATGGATCATGTTTTTAACTCTGCGTTTTTAAAGTTGGGGCCGATGAAGATGTGGTTAACTAACTTTTGTTTCTCCTGTCCCTCGCACGGGAGATCCTTTTTCCATCCAGTGTTTCTAACATTGCTGGTGCTCTCTTGATTAGGTATGCATCTCTGTGGAAAGGATGTCTTACGCTTTACACTGGAAGGGGAGGAGAGCTTCAGAAAATCGGGGAGTGAGTATCTCGTGCTGTATGGACTCGGTCACGTTTGCTTGAAGGTTTTGCCCTTTGCAAATTGGAGAAGTAAGTCTGAAGCCTCATTGCCCACAGGCCTTACAGAAACACCATTTATTCCCACCCACCCCGCCGCCCCCCCTTGTTACTGTTTTTGCAGCCTTAGTAAAGTGCTCTGCCAGAGATCCATGTTCTGGACATTTGGCTTCCTTTTTTGCTCAAATGAAAGTAAATGTTTTGAGGTCCCGTTTGCGATGGCTTATAAAAGACAGCCTGGTTGGTCCTGCAATCCCCCACTTGGGGGGGGGTGTCCCCCTCTGACATGGCCTTCCTTGCCTTAACCTAGAGTTGTGAGCCAGGTAAGTTCTGCCGTGCAAGTGGTCTATGTTGGGTTAACACATTGTGGTTTCCAAGGACTTGCAGCGCTGAAAACTGAAGTCCTCTATTTATCCACAGGCCAGGCACGGTAGAGGCAGCCCCAGTGCGAGCTTCCGCCTTGCTACTCTGGTCATGAGCTCCAGCATGTCTTGGAGGAGCCAGCCTCCCTAGGGGGGTGTAAAGGTAAATTTCCCCCTCCACTTGGCAGAGTTTCCTGCGGAATGATGACGATGATGATGGGGGGGGTGATGATAACAAGACTGGTCTCTGCTAGGGGTTGGGGATCCTTTCGCCCTTCAGATGCATTGACCTGCTCCTCCCGTCACCCCTTGCTGTCAGCCATGTTAGGCCAGGGCTTCTGGGAGGTGAAGTCCGTAACATCTGGGAGAAGGCCAGAGGTTCCCCCCCATACCTGTTCCAAACTGTAAGGCTGCCTTTCCCCAAATTGCCATCCTCCAGATGTTTTGGACTACGACTCAGGCCTGTCCAGGCTTTGAGGCCTTCAGAGAGGTGGTTCCTTTGCTTGCATTGCCTCAGAGGCAGCACACTTTTGGGGATGTGAAAGAGGTCATTTGGGGGGGGGGCTGTTCCCAG